GACCAAGACGATCATTCTATTTTTAAAATGTTGAATAATTTCAAATGCATTTTTAATGGAGGTAAATTAAAACTTTAATTACTATTGTCATTAAAAAGTTATTACAAATTTTAAGATATTATAAGCTGTGGAGAGGTTAAAAATATTTGTTGTAAATTTGAGGAACCAGTTTCTACATGGAAGAGTAGAGTATAGTTGTTGCCCTATTGTACATAGGCAGATGGTCATTTCATAAATAAAATAAAATTAATGTAAAATTCAGTGGAGTTGCTCCAAAGGTTAGAGAATGTTACACTTATGGATAAGGAATGGATGACAGTATTAGATTACAAAGCTCTGTACCCATCAATTAATTAAATTGCTTCCCTGTTTTTGTGCCCTGAGAGACTTTCTGTTTGCTAAAATTAATAACTATGAAATACCACAAGCAGATCTTGAAATTGGCAGATTTGATTTGCCACACATCTTTCTTTCAATCTGAAGATAAAACTTACCTGCAAGCACAGGGTGTACCGATGGGTAGCTCCATGTCAGCTATACTCTGCGAATTAGTGTTGCGTAAATTCAAAAGCCATATACTCCCATCGTTCCAGGAAGACATATTGTCTTATGCAAGATATGTTGATGATATCTTTATTTTGTGGAAAGATAATCGCAGAGTTAACCAGTTTATAAATCTGATCAATGACAATACATATGGATTAACTCTGGAGCTGAAGCAGGAAAATGGAAGCACTGTTAATTTTTTGAATTTATCTATAACTTGCAAGGAAAGGGAAATCAGAACAGATATATACCGGAAACCCAGTTATCTTCCTATTATCATTCCTTGGAACTCTGCAGACCCTAAGCATATAAAAAATGGCAGTTTTTCATTCATGGATAAGGACATGTATTGCACCAGTATCTGAGACACTTACAATAAGTTGAAATATATATGAAACATAGAATACAGCAAGGATACCATAGAGAAAGAATAGATGCTCTTATTACGAATTGTCAGAAACAACACCCCTTGCAGAGAGGGAATCAGCATAGGGAAAGAGTTGTGCTCAATTACATACCATTCCTCAAAGGAATGGTTAAAAAATTTACCAGAAATAAGAATATACAGATAGTTTACAGGTGTAATCCCACCGTATACAGACTCTTAAGGAATGATAAAGGCAGTTACAAATGCAACATGATGGCAGGGATATACTCTATACCGTTAAAGGACCATAGATTTAACTCCAACTTGGTATACATAGGAGCAACCATGAGAAACTTAAAGAAAAGAATTGATGAACATAAGCACTCAGTAAATAAAAACATAGACTCTATGGTGCTTGCTGCTTTTGCCAAACAGCAGGATATCATGGTCTTCTGGGATCAGGCATCGATCATCAAGGCTACAAGATCCAAGCAAGCCATGAAACATCTAGAAAAATTAGAGATTCACAAGGCACAGTTGAACACAAACTGTATCAATCATAGGGAAGCCGATGGATTGTCATCAGCATGGAAATCCTTCTATGATGAGTTGACGTAGTTTATATAAGCAGCAAAGTTAATTATGATAATTTTTACTGGATGTATATATTTTATTTTATTTCTTTATTTCGTTTTAATTAATTTGTATAGTCTTTGTGATTATTTAAGCTTGTTATATGTTATTGCAAATTTGTGTAACCGCTTTTTGAATTTTATTTTACGTAATTTCAAATTCTTCGTTCGATTCAGAATGATAACCGAAGATGATTGCTTAAAGCATGCAAAAACATTTTTAAGATATTAAAAATGACTTGCTGGAATGTTTAAAGGTTTTGTTTTTATTTATTTTATTAAAAATATTTTTAAGTATAAATATGCAAATAGTTAAATAGTATAATTTAATAATAACAGAAATTATTAAGATATTTTATAGTAGCAGAATGTTCAAATTTACAATCAGTACAAATTTTAAATTAAGAGATGAAGTTGTACTGATTTTCTAGAAGTCTTAAATATTTATTAAGATTATTGTTCTTTGATTTTATTTGAAGAAACTATGTTTATTCCCTAAGGTAAACAATTTAATTTCAAAGACCAAGAAAGCCCAGTGAGTGATCAGTTAATGAACATAATTCGTTCCAAAAACAGTTCGGATAGCGAACATAGTCCCAAGACTATGTTCGCTATCCGAACTGTTTTTGGAACATAGTCTTGGGACTATGTTCGGATAGCGAACATAGTCCCAAGACTATGTTCGCTATCCGAACTGTTTGTTAACCGATTATTGATTTACCATAGATTTTTGGAGAATTTGATTAATTCGATGTAGAGACCCACAAAAATAAATAAAAAATTATATACTTTCTTACTATATTTATTTACATGTAATAACAAACTAAAAGCAATCTGTCCATTTTTTCATGGATGGCATATCTTTGTTTCTCAGTTGTGATTTTTGTTACTCCTTTATTAGCTTGAGTCTTTTTGATTACATCTTCTTAGGTTAAATTTATCTACTGTAGATATGTTGAAGTCATCTGCCTACAATCAGGGGTGGATCTACATAGGGACTAATAGGGCTTGTCCTGGGCCCCCAAAATTGAATTATTTTCATTAACAATAAGCACTTATCATATAATAAAAAATAGTTAATATTATTAATATAATAATAATGATATATAAATGAATTTTAAACCCCAATTTAAAGATTCTTAATCTAACAAAAAATGGGACCCCATTGGACTTCAATAAGTCCTAGGCCCTGAAAAACCTAGATCCGCCCCTGCCTACACCTACAATATCAGACATCTTCTGCCCACTCTCTACCTTGGATATTATCTCTTGCTTACAGGACATTCCAATTTTCAGCATGTGTGTTGAGTGTTGAAACCAACAATTTGACATCATCAATGATGTTCCAACTTCAAGTACAAAGTGCTTAGTTCCCATAATTCCATTCTCAGCAAGATGGATTTCATTCAAATGTCACACCAATTATCCATAATTCATTGGAAAGCAGCAGTCAACATATCTATTGAGTGCTGAGTGTCTTGAGTCAGCGTTGACAACAGCATCACTTCAACATTAAAAAAAAAGAAAGACTTAACAAATGCTGAGATCAGCACTTAGCATTGAAAACTGGAATGTCCCATTAGTTTCTATAGTGAACACAGTTCTTGATACTCCACTCTTTTTAGGCATCATAATTATATCAGTTTTTTTTATAAAACATTCAGAAAAATACTTACAATTCAGAGAACAGAAATTAACTAGTGCAAAAAAGGTTATACAGTAGAGTGTCGATTATCCGAATCAATTGGGGACTGGAGTTGTTCAGATAACTTACTTTTCGGATAACCAATTATGTACGAAAAAATATATTAATTTATCCAGTGTTGAAATTTTTCTCCGTTGCGTGTCACTTTGCGTTGAATTTTCATCGATGTTAAGCCTAATGAAGACTATTGTATCATTAAAAATTATTTTTTATTTTGTACAAACAAAATAAATATATTGAAAAATATAAAAACAATAAAAAATTATACTTCAGAAGTTAATTTAGTATCAAAAACGTAAAATATTTGAGTAGCCCAAGACATAGCCAAAGATTGCAGCGCCACAGCACTTGCAAAAATTTAAATTTTCCGACTGGAATTCTTTCGGATGATTGACTTTCGGATAATCGACGCTCTACTGTATATACAACTGTGAAAATCTTGTTCCATAAACCATGTACATATGCCATTAAAATATAGTTTTACAAATCTTAAATGCAGCATTGCTTCTTGTGTTTGTTCTGTGAGGTGTTGGAACATAAGAATATTTTGCGAAATATGCACCTACAACATGTTGCAATGTCAAGAAACCTTTCAGTACAGACTCATTCTGAATAGAAATTAGCACACCATTACTCTTGAACATATGAAGCAACTTTTGATTTCACACTGTTGCAGCAGGGCATAGTGTTTTCAAATGTTTATGTAATCTTTGTAAACAATTTTATTTAAAAGAATCAAAATAAAAAGGCTGCATACCTTAGGGTTTTAAGTGCACATAAAACTGGACACTAGTTATAATGTAATTTGCTCAGACATTAATATTTTATATTAATTACATAACAAATAATTATGTAAAAATAATAAAAATATTAATATACAAATAATAAAATATTTTTATAAAGTGGAAATTTGGCACTAATGCTTAATTGTATTAATATAACCAACTTTTGTACTTATATACTTATCCAGATTTGTATCAGTGCAGTTAAGAAGGCCATTATTTCTTTGTCTCTATGCTGAATTTTTTATCTATGAAAATTTGTGTTGTAAATCATTTTTTATTTTCTGTCATAAACTGAGTTTTTCAGACTGTAATTATTAGATAATTAATAAATTTTATACAGTAGTTATATTATTAAATAGCTCTGTATACATTTTTTCATATTAAACTATATATTTAAATTAAATATATGAAATACGTTAAGATTTAATTATGATAATATAGATAAATTAAATTAATAATATAATAATAATTAATAATAATATTAAATTAAAACCTGTATATTTACCTGCCTAATGGAGCACCCATTCCTACAATCCTTTTCACATCTTGCGTTAGATGTCGTTGACTTGGCAATGCCCTGCTATTCATAGCTAAGATGTTTCGATTATGAGAAGAACTGTAAAAAAAAAAATAGTTTAAAATTAGCAATAATGTAAAAATAAATCCTAATATAAAATCATACTTTATAATACAATCATCAATATTTAACCTATTAGGAGATGGTTGCTGTGGAGGTAGACTGCTAGGCAAACATGATGGAAAAATGGGAACCCCTGAACTGGTAGGAGTCACATGCCCAGACAGCTGACTACCGCTGCTTCCCAACCTGGTTGGAAACTGCTGCCCTCCTAGACTTCTTGAAGTCTGTTGTAAACTTAGCCCACCAATACCTGCAAAACAGAATTCATATTATATCTGCATCAATAATTTTGAATAAAATGTAATTATATCAAAACATAACATACCCAGAGAATTACTCGTTGGTTGCCCATAACCAAATGGATGAGATGATGAAGGTGAAGTCATGATCTGAAGAAATAATTATTTTATATTAAGATCAAATTATTTTAATCATCATCACTCTAAATGTTATTATTAACTATAATAGAGCGTCGTTTATCCGAAGGTCGGTTATCTGAAGGAATTTCAGTCGACAAATTTAAATTTTCACCAGTGCTGTGGCGCTGTAATCTTTGGCTACTCAAATATTTTACGTTTTTGATACTAAATTAACTTCTGAAGTATAATTTTTTATTGTTTTTATATTTTTCAATATATTTATTTTGTTTGTACAAAATGAAAAAATAATTTTTAACGATACAATGGTCTTCGTTAGGCATCGACGAAAATTCAATGCGAAGCGACATGCAATGGAGAAAAATTTCAACACGGGATAAATTAATATATTTTTTCGTACATAATTGGTTATCCAAAAAATAAGTTATCCGAACAACCCCAGTCCCCAATTGATTCGGATAAACGACGCNCTTCATAGATTTCTTGTAAATATGAAATGTTAAAATATCAAGATAAACTTTGTTTAAATAAGTAAAATTGTTTATTCAGTTACAAATTTTGATAGAGGAATATATACAAATATACATATGTACATGAACACTTCTAATGAAGTAATAAATGTAAATTGAAAGTTTTTATAAATTCTATAATCCTTATCATAAGAATTATTTTTAAAATAATTATATATTTCTGGAATTTGATCATTTCAAACAGTTTCTCTTCAATAAAATTATAATCAATAATACATTAAATTTTGCCTGAAGATGCCTTTTTAAAAATGGAGAAAAATGTTTGCTTTCCAAAGTTTGTTTGCTGGTTTATTGGTTTAGTGACATAGAGGAACTTTTACATTAAATTTATGAAAAATTTCTTCTTTTACATCAGAAAATCATATTTTATAAAAATATCACATCCATTTATTTTTAATATTAAGTAACATATTTTGTTGAATTTTCAATTCACACAAATCTTTTTTTAATATTATCCTTTGTGTTGTGAAATTTATTTGACCAGTTATTAGTATTTAAATAAAATATTTCAATTTTGCAAATACTATTTTATGTAAAAGATTTTTGAATAATTATAATTTAAGTTAATTGTGTAAGAGTATTTAAAATTTATGTTCATTAATTTTAACATAAATTGAGAATTTCAAAATTTAACATTTTAATTATATCTTCTTATTTCTTGAAAGGTTTGAAACTTAAAATTTATTTAAATTCATTTTGTTTATTACACAGTAATGACATAAAATGTATATTATGCATAAACAATTTTCATTTTGATTGCATATTTTTAAATTCTCCATTTCTTTCTAAGCATTATCATAACATTTCCTAATCTAAAGTATGCCTATCATTGAGGGTGCATAAAGTACTTTCAGAGTTTTTTTTCCTATTAAATATTAAAAAATGAAATGAGTACTGTATAGTATCGATTATCCAAAACAATTCAAGACTGGGATCGGATAACTGATAATTTACAAAAAAATATATTAAACACAAAAATGTACTGTATATATTTTGTATCACACATCTTACAAATACATACCTTACATAAAGTAGTACATTAAAGTAGGCCTACAGTTTAGGTTGGCAGGGAGGGGGAGAGTACTGCAGTGCCACAGCACCAGTGGAAATTTGAATTTGCCAATTGGAAAGCTTTCAGTTAACCGATGTTTCAGTTGATTGGTATTCGGATAATTGATGCTCTACTGTAATTATTATTGTAAATCATGCAACATGCATGTGATAAAACATATGATACTAAAAATGAATTCCTAATTCATTAAGCATAAGTCAGTCAAATTGAGATTTAACTATACTATTTCCATATCTAAATTTTTGTTTAAGATGTTCTAGTTTACAAATAAAGAGTGAAAAATAAAAAGACACTTCTAGATAATAATTCTTTTGTAAATTCTATAATCCTTATCATAAGAATTATTTTTAAAATAATTATATATTTCTGGAATTTGATCATTTCAAACAGTTTCTCTTCAATAAAATTATAATCAATAATACATTAAATTTTGCCTGAAGATGCCTTTTTAAAAATGGAGAAAAATGTTTGCTTTCCAAAGTTTGTTTGCTGGTTTATTGGTTTAGTGACATAGAGGAACTTTTACATTAAATTTATGAAAAATTTCTTCTTTTACATCAGAAAATCATATTTTATAAAAATATCACATCCATTTATTTTTATATTAAGTAACATATTTTGTTGAATTTTCAATTCACACAAATCTTTTTTTAATATTATCCTTTGTGTTGTGAAATTTATTTGACCAGTTATTAGTATTTAAATAAAATATTTCAATTTTGCAAATACTATTTTATGTAAAAGATTTTTGAATAATTATAATTTAAGTTAATTGTGTAAGAGTATTTAAAATTTATGTTCATTAATTTTAACATAAATTGAGAATTTCAAAATTTAACATTTTAATTATATCTTCTTATTTCTTGAAAGGTTTGAAACTTAAAATTTATTTAAATTCATTTTGTTTATTACACAGTAATGACATAAAATGTATATTATGCATAAACAATTTTCATTTTGATTGCATATTTTTAAATTCTCCATTTCTTTCTAAGCATTATCATAACATTTCCTAATCTAAAGTATGCCTATCATTGAGGGTGCATAAAGTACTTTCAGAGTTTTTTTTCCTATTAAATATTAAAAAATGAAATGAGTACTGTATAGTATCGATTATCCAAAACAATTCAAGACTGGGATCGGATAACTGATAATTTACAAAAAAATATATTAAACACAAAAATGTACTGTATATATTTTGTATCACACATCTTACAAATACATACCTTACATAAAGTAGTACATTAAAGTAGGCCTACAGTTTAGGTTGGCAGGGAGGGGGAGAGTACTGCAGTGCCACAGCACCAGTGGAAATTTGAATTTGCCAATTGGAAAGCTTTCAGTTAACCGATGTTTCAGTTGATTGGTATTCGGATAATTGATGCTCTACTGTAATTATTATTGTAAATCATGCAACATGCATGTGATAAAACATATGATACTAAAAATGAATTCCTAATTCATTAAGCATAAGTCAGTCAAATTGAGATTTAACTATACTATTTCCATATCTAAATTTTTGTTTAAGATGTTCTAGTTTACAAATAAAGAGTGAAAAATAAAAAGACACTTCTAGATAATAATTCTTTTGTAAATTCTATAATCCTTTTTGTCCTTTCTATAATTCTATAATCCTATAATTCTATAATAATATTTTTTGTGTAGAAACACTAGAAAAAAAACAAATAAATAATATACAGGTATCCCTTATAAAACACAATTTCAATCTAACACAGTTTGAAAATTGGGGATATCCTCCATACAACACGACTTCTGGTTTCACTCTAATGCAGTTTTGGAAATCCTCTATACAAAATTTTACAATTTTTAAGTGTAAACTTTGTTATTCGATATTTTTTTATTCAAGTAAGCATGCATATTGCCTCAAATTTGCCCATGGATTTTAGAATATTGAAAATTTCATATTATTTTGTACTTTTCATCAGGTTTACTTTAATGAAAACTGATAGGCCAAGGAAGAAAAAAATTGCACTAACTTTCCTATCAACCAAGTGTCATTGTCATTGCTTTCAGATTTTAGCCTTTGAGACAACTGTGTTTTGTTTTTATAGATTAATCTTCATATTTAGTAAAGTTTATTTAAATATGTTTAGATAATTGCTATTAAAGTTTTTTTTTTAACTGTAGATAATCAATCATTCATAAAATAATGAATGAAATACAGCAGTATCTTGATATTTAAACAATTCACACAAATTCTGGAAAAGAGTTGCTTGGTCCTCAATTGAAGAAATGTGACCCACTAGAACAAATTTTCAATTAATAACATTTTTATTTTGTCATTCATAAACATTTTTCATGATAAAAATAAAAAATATGAAAATGTTGCTGACACTTCTGATCAAGATCAACAAAAAATAAACTGAGATGACGATGATACTTCATAAAAAGAAAATGCTTTCATATAACTAAAATTAATATTAATGCATAACACAGTTCTTTTAATTGAAATCGTTAATTAATTATTGATTGGAAATAAATTATCGATTGCTTCAATAAACACATTTCTCTTAGTGACGGAAAATAGTAGTATACTTTTGGTAACTTTTGGAACCTAACCCCATGTTCTGCAATAGTCCTTTGTTTTGTATAGCACAGATTTGAATAAGATGACACTTTTTGGAACATAACTACTGTCTTATATGAGAGATAACTGTATATAGGAAAATACAACACACTTTTAATTCGAGTATAAGAGTGCTATCACAAAAATTGCTAGAATACATAGCTTGCATCTACTTTTAAACTGACTTTAAAACACACATAACCTGCGAGATATATGTAGGAAATTACATATTGTATACAAATGTAAAAGAAATTTTTCAATCACCTTAAATAAAAAAAATTTACATTAAAACACTACGATCTATCAAAACAATTTTCATCAACCACGTAATATACAATTTGCTAATACTGATCACATTAACAAATTGTAATAACATAATATTTAAAAAAAAAATATATTTTATGGATAATTATTCAAAATAAAAATGTAATTTAATAATCACGAACGTAAAATTCTTCTTTTATAAAAGAATAATATTTTAATTGTCTTCAAAGTAATTTTCAACGTCGAATTATAATTTGCATCGTATCGATTACGAAATATTTTAATAATTTTCAGTCTGTGTAGGTATTTTTTTTTCTCGTTATAAATGCCCTTTAATTATGATTTTCTTATCTTATTTATTAGTTAAAATAAAGTCTTCGTTTAATTTAGAATTTAAACATTGATTAAACTGTATTTTGGGTTATTTTTCCTTAATTAAATTTAAAGGTTTCTATATTGATTTTGATGTGAATTCAATCACGATTATCTTTGTTTTGCTCCGAACATTACAGATTATAGGAATTAAACAATGTGAGTAAACTATAGAATATATAATTCG